GCAGTACGAGTTTTATTGTAAATGGAGCCAATCCATCAAATATTTTTTTTCCGTTAAGCTTTCTTAACTCTCTAACAATTCTTTGTTTAAATGATTTTAAGGATGTTCGCTACTATATTTTAAAACAAAAAGCTTTTCAAAAGACTGTTATAAATTGATAGTATATAAATAACGGAACTAAAAAAGCAGAAAAAAATGAAGGGTTCATTTTCGAGATACAAGCCATTGAAAAATTGGCGGGAAATGATTCTCTCTAGATTGTTCATACATTTAAGATTGGCACCTTTTTCTTTCAACAACTATGAAAAAATAACAAAAAATTTATAAGATTTTCAAATATGGCTTTTTAAACTATATGTAATAAAAGAAAAGTAGGGGTTAGCGGCCAAATATTTATAAGCACTACATGGATAAAACCAGAGGATTCCGAATATCTGACAAAAATTCAAAAACAAGATGGGCGAACATCCTTAAAAGACCAATTACAGTTGTGCATGTGATGATTGACAGATTACCAGATGGTTGATTCAAAATTTCTCTGTTCAAGGATATATACTGACTGACTTTAAAAATGCAACACTCATTTTGTTGATTTTTTTTACCAAATCATGGTTGATCCTCATACAACTACTATTCATGCTTACCATACTTCTTCCTCTTTCGAAAACATCAACATCTGACTTTCCTGTGGTTATTTATCATACCGGATTATTAAAGTCGCACGAATTTCTTAAAGCGAAATTTGGAATTCAAAAAAGATTTTTTCAGTTTTGTTTTCTTCGTGAAACTGTTCTTTCAGTCCATGGCCATACTTAAATCAGTTTAAACATGTTGCAAAGACTGAGGAATAAAAAACTGAATCAGCCCGTAAGAATATTGTAAACAGGAGAACGTGAACGTGCTGCTACCAGACAATTTGACGGCAGAAACTCTTCTTACTGTCTTTCCGATAACGATACAGGCAAACGGGATTTGTTGATGACCATCAATGACCAGGTCAACATGTAGTGACAATGCAACGTCAATAGAATTTGATTACGCAACGTCATTTGCGAGACATGTTTACGGCCGAAACGTCATCTGCTAATCAAATTGCCGAATACCATTGCACACAGATTCATACCATAAATGTTTACCATAAACTGAAATGCCAAAGAATCGACTGCAAAAAAACATTCTAAGCCCTAAAGGTTCACCCGCATATTTGCCAAAAAAAAAAACACACTGTAATGGGTGGAACAAAGGCAAAATCAGAAGGTGAAAAGCAAAACCCAAAACATGCCGAACAGAATTGGTTGACCTTTCTGACAATCATTTTGGCGTTTGTTACAGGCAGTCATTGCTTTCGACCGTGACACATCCATTGGTAAGGGGAAAACCAGGGTTTCAGTGTATACCACATGATTTCAACATTAAAAATGACGTTATCAATTCATCTTTCGAACTGCAATTTTTTTTTAAACAATGTAATAATGAATGAAATTTCTGTTCATAAGTTTGTTCAACAAAAAATGCATATTTGAAAATGGGAATTAAAAAGAATAATCTAGTGTTGCGTTTCTAAAGTCGGTCAGTATATTTCTTCTTCTTACATAATTCTGTAACTTGTCTGACACATTCATTAACTTGGTACGGAGTGAAAAGGCGAGTTATGTTAGAATTGCAGATGTTTAGAAATAAATGAAAAGAACACTTGATAGATTTGTATCATCGAAAGCGCTTCGCAAATTAAAACCAAAGTTAAAGATGTTCTTTTATTTACTTTACGAGCTATATATGATGATAGTAGTTCAGCCTGCATGTTCAACATGCGTTGGTTAAAACGACACACGCAAACTCTTTGGACAAAGGAGGAAATCAAATCAAACACTATCTTTTTTTAAATTACATGAAAAGCAAATATTAGTTTTGGAGATTGGTTGATATATAAATATATAACTAAAAAAGGAATATACAAAGAATAGACACAACAACATAAATACAACTTTGCTTGACGGAGTTGACAACTTAGTTTCTTAGTCATTAGTACGGAACATTTTCAAACTCACAATTTTTTCATAGAGGTGATATTTGGATACAGCAAGGTTCTTTCTTGCCTGCTAGAAACACCAAATGATATATCTCAATTGCCCTAGCTATGTTAGCTATAGTTGGTTGATTCTACCAAAGGAGTAAATTCACGAAGGGTTGAAATTGGCCCTAAGAATTTGATGTTTTTTAATCAGGCCAAAATACTACAAATTTCATATAGAAATACTCAATGTATAACTATTAATACAAAATTACCTCATTTTAACACATCACATTAAAAATGACGAAGAAATACCCCTCAAGTGTGCATTATTTGTGTTGTAACGTTAGTTTTTGTCAAATTTTCAGTAATTCTTAACAGTTTTTAACATAATTTACTTTGGCCGCCATCCCTGATCCAGAAAGTTTTAGTGATTCAATATCATCATTGGAATGTTTGGGATACAGAACATTTTGGATCCTAGATTGCAGCCAAGGCTTTCCTCAAGTTTTTAGGTCAGAAAAATGCTGCATATCATTGTTATTTTGCGATTTATTCAAAATGTGCTAACTTCAATGCACTATAATGCACTCTAATGAAGAGATTTGTTTAATCTAGTGGTAAAGTTTTGAAAAAGATCAGTTTAAGAACCAAATTATGGCCATTTTGATATTTTATGAAAAAGTTTAATTTCTAGGCCATATTTGCATATAATGAACCTTATTCTGTAGTCTTTCAGTTTTTGTATAAATGTGTCCATTTCTTCTGTAATTGTTCAAAAGCTAAACATGACCTTTATTCATTTAATCCAAACGCGAATTTTGTCAGTTTTAATATTCCTCGACTGGATATGACGAGAATCTACAATGTACGATATCAACATTGACATTTGTATATATGTTTGAATTGAAGAATGCTAAAATATGATATCCAAACTCAAAACTTTTACATGACTACTGTAAATAACTTAATAAACCATATCATTGTCAATTTAGAAGGATGTTAATATTTCATAATATATTAAGTTTCTTTTATTATAACTGTTATAATCGTAGAATAGAAAAGAGTTTTTCTTTTTTTCTTTTTATACATAACAATATGGGGACATATATGTATGTGCTATATTAATTCAAGAAATATTTATATTTAGCTGGTAAAGTGTCAATCTGAACACTTAAGCATTAAATTGGGTTCATTTGTCGCTTTCAATGTAAATTTCAACATTTAATTTGAGAGGCTTGTTGATATGTTGGTCAATAAGCGGATATGATAATTGTTACAACAAAAGTTGCAAGATAATAAATTGCGCATATATTTGTAACATTGATATTTTTGGTTGTCTGTTTCATTTTACATGAATATTCCCTTTAGAGATATCCAAAGTGAGCTGAAAATGGCTTTTATCTCGAATGCATTTTTTGAAATTTTAAAAGCTATGTATGCTAATGTGGCTTCGTTTTATAATAGCTGATAGCAGTAACTTCATCAACGTTTATTAATTTGTCCCGACATAAAATCATTTCAGTAAATTTTAGCGTCGTGCATCAAACCTAAAGTAGACGAGGATATATGGACATTTCAGATATAGCGTTAAGTGTTTTACTATCAATGCTATTCATCCAAAAAGTTATTTATTTGTTTTTCTTCTACACAATATAGAATTGATTGTGACATCACTTGAAAATGACAGTGAGATCAAGATATTGATAGCAAATAGCAATGAAAGCAATTTACTCAAAACATTCTAGATTACTTAATTTTGCTTTGTGGAAAGCCATTTCAACATCCTACAGTGTAAAATGGTTGCTGTGTTAAGAAAACAACAAAGAAATCATTGCCGTTATTGATGAAGCTATTAGAGCATAATTAGTATGTGATTTCATGAAATTTTAAAGATCCTTTTAAAGAAGTGTTTAATTATACTGCATCGGTTGTCGGTAATGGTTTATGTAGACAGGTTGTTATTACATACCAATTGTAATGATAATAATCTTTTGGTTGTAATTGGCCTATCCTTTAGCAAGTTAATGATGCATGAACATTAACATTATTTTTTCCCGATTCAGTTTAGCTTGTTAGCTGAATAAATGGATGGTGTCAATGCTGTTGCGTCTCTAGAATGACAACGGGAAATTATTATACACGTTTTTTTTTTTATTATTATCATATGATTTTTATCCATTCTTCACTACACGACAGAAAATGCTTAAACAAAATTTAAACTTTACGATTTTTAAAAATAATGTTTCAAATTGCATACAAATTTGTCCCTTCGTTTATTTTATCTAGTGTAACAAATATCTTTATAGTATCTTGTGTGTTAGCGAATATGGACCCAACAAAACATATATTCCTTTACAAGCATGCTATCGTTAGACATAATATTAATTTGGGATTTGTTTCAATCTTTGATGATGATAAATTGGTGTATATATACGAGGGGAACATAGCAATTGGTCAAGCCAAAAGGTTTCCGTGGAAGTTTTAATTTTCCGTCTGCCTGTCCGTCCGTTTGCCTATTCAATAACAGTTTGAATTTTTAGGTCGGGACGTCAAACTTAGTACACATGATTATAAGACTTTATTGTCTTTGTCGTAAGAAACGATAAGTAATTGCAAAATGCAAAATTTTTGCCTATAATGCCAAATATAGATTTTTGACATCACAGTCGAATTTGCATCTTAAAAATTGTTGACTGTTGAAACGACAGTTTTTAACCCTTGCAAATTTCGGAGTTATTTATCGACAGAATGATATCAGAGGTTGGTTTCCCAATTTTCTTCCCAAATAAGACAATTTGAGAGGTGGCACCCCGATAGACAATGATAGTGTCATCATCAACAGCATGTTGTCGAATAATGTCTCAATCGTTGTACAACTTTCATTGCAGTAAATTATGTAAATTATATAAAAATTAGATACTCTAAAATCTAAGTGATCTAAGATCATTCGTTGTCTTTGTATTAATTGGCATGTCTTTACTTACAGGCTGTAGTATCACACAGAGAAAAAAGAGCACCTGTGAGTATTTTAAGAGCCATTTATAACAACTAATATTTTATATGCACATTTAAAACTATTTAAATATTCATGTTCCATTTGTACATGTACTTAGAGTATATTATATCACTGTGAGTACTATTTGGTACTTTCACTCACAGCATTACACTAAATAACTTCTGTAGTGGGAGTTATAAGTGTATACAAATAGACAGTGTAAACGGTTGACTGATGCTTCCTCCAAATGAATTGAATCATATTACCAGAAAATATAGCATTGTGCTAAACGGCAAAATTTCGTGGTGTACTGCATAGATTGTAAGATGATGCTACTCGGCTGTTTTATGCTCCAACTACGGTATGTTCGTCCAGCTGTGAATCCGTAAGTCCGTGCGTTCGCACGTCCCATACCAAGTTGAATTTTCGGGTTGAGACTTGAAACTAAGTACACATGGTCATTATGATATGAGCTTTTTAAAATATATACCAAATAAGGGTTTGACCTATATTTCTATATTTCTCTTTTCGCTGATTATGAAATTGCGAACTGAACATCGTGTCATATGAACAGATATTATTGTTAATTAATATTCAACATATTAGTAACATTGGTTTGTAAATGATAAAATATTACCATCTTAATCATAATAAGTATCATACAAAAACACAAGGAACAATACATTTTGAAAATAAATACGATTTCAGTCATTAAAACATTTGAGTCTTTCGAATTAATTTCAGATATAGAGCTACCATTACTAAATAACCGTATTACTGTCTGCTTTCATTAGTATCAAACGCCACTTATTTCCAATAAATTGGTGACAATGTAATGAACTGGTAATATCTAATTTTATGATGTAATTGTAACACTGAGCAAATTGAACGATAACAGGTTTAAAACATTTGTGATGTAAGAACTAAAGTGCATTATTTAATTATGATATCATTATTGTATCAACTGTCATAAATTAGTAAGGTTTTTATTAGCAGTGTTAATGCATATACAATAACGTTTGCTTGTACAATTTCATAGTGTTAACCGAAAATACAAAAATGAATATTTTAATACAATAAATTGTCATTTCTATAGTTTCTAAGCGTTTTTGGTAATGATAAATTTACAAATTGAATCAAATGCTTGGGTTTTCTCATATTTTAAGTTTCGATGATAGCAGAAACTAAGTAAAACTCAAGTAGTTTGAAATCGTGTATTACATATAGAAACGGTGGTAATTATTCCAGGTATTAGAACCAGTATGAAACGAGATATATATTATTTTGATTGATTTATAATTTCAGCAGAAAAGCATAATCTAGTACTCGTTACAAAATATATTCATAATCAAACATGTCACAATCCATGCGCAATTTCCAGCATCTGATCTGCATCTCTATATTGCGCATATTGAAACATGGAAATAAAAATGAACTTGCACAGAACAAGCTGGCAAGGGCGAGCATTGATCAAGGTGAATTGTTATCTACATCAGCATCTGAGAATGTTGTTTTTTGGTTTATTTATAAATACTCATAATCATGGCCTTTTATTAGGGTCAGTATTCACCCAGACTTGGGCGGCGCTCAAAAGAGGTAGGTTTTTGCACTGCGCATTTTCATTTATTCGTAGCGAAAATCCGTTCCTTATTCTAAATATAGTCAGTCTAAATACATCTGAATTCCTAGCGCAAATATTTTCTATGCTAATAATCCTGTTGTCCCCCTTCTTAGCGCAAACCTTTAGACCGTTCTTAATTTTCAAGAACAGCATCTTTCAAGCAATATTCTTATACTCACATTAACCTGAACTATTTCTATACTGATATTTTTTCAAATCTACTTGATGTTTTCATATCTATGTAGCAATAGCTATTTTTATAATTTTATCGTACAAAATATCCTATATGATTTAAAGCTCCATGTGAAGTATATGATACATAACATTATTTTAAAGTGATTTTGAAGCAAATATCATGACCCATCGATTCAAACCTTTAGAGTGAACATGAAAGATTATTATTTTTACACGTTTTTCCATTTATATCGACACGATATGGAAGGAGTAGTTCGTACAATAATTTACAACATGAAAAACAATAATGCAAAATACTGTTAAGAACCTGATCAAATTCCTCAAATCCAACACACAAAAGTGTATTCATATTCATATTCATTTTTTTTTTAACAAACAAGACTATTTTAACAATTATAATATTCCGAGTAGTTTTTTTTTTAAATGTTCCATCATAAACTCCTTTCAATTCCTTACTGTTGTATCTTCATGTCATTTACTGCAAGCACCTACGCGCTAACAAGTAATGCAGCCATAAGACACGAATGGGTCGAAAACGGTCACATAATCATACTTCTGAACATTGGTTCATCTTTGGAATACAATTTCGCTTACTGTTCATTAGCTTTTCAGACAATTCAGAATGTTATTGATGTTTGCGGGTAAATAATAACTACTAAACATTTTATCTATATTTCCATAGATATATGTTGAATTGAAATTTTAAAAAGTAACACATGCATAACAGTTATTCAACTCATTGCACAAACATCACTTACCAGTTATTTGTTTCAATTCATCTGGTCTGTCCAGCCATGTTCTTGTTTCGAATGACTTACAAGTAAATGATATATATAAATTATTTAATTTGTAAATTAGTTGATATCTAAAATATCTCATCCTTAGCGCTGGCGTTCTTTGCTATTTGCATTTTTATACAGGTCTACAGTTTCTATAGTTTATGTAATAGAGCCTGTTTTATTTTCTTAAGTTTTATGTAACACAAAATGTTTACAGACTGTTCCAGACGCTGACCACATTAAAGAGCTCTTATCACTAGACCCCAGACTGAAAAAGGAATACATAGAAGTATTCCTTAAACTTTTAAAAGAAAAATTAGGTGACAATAAACAGCTAGCAGAGGTTTGTGGAGCACACCATCGTCTATGATGTCATGGTTCTCAATTGTTCTTGCATATTTATTGTAATTCTAAATATTGCATAAAATTCTTATGCTCAACTTTATCTGGCATGATGTAATTGTGATTAAATGTTAACGGTATTATATTCTTATAAACTAAGTTTTTGGTGTTGGTAAACAATACTATGTGGACTTTTTGAAGGATCTTACTCTTCTAACTTTCTTCATATATTTCTTGCCAGACTTTTTTTACTTCATAAAAATCTATTTTTGAATCAGTTTAAGATATCATAAATGAAACCATTGTGTAGATATTTTCTGTTTTTCTTCCTTGGTTACTCAAAATGCCAAAAAAGAGTAATATCTTTTACTTGGGTTGAAAATCTTCAACAAAAGGCATAGGTTTATACACGGCTCAATTTTTTTGAATTGCGTAATGGTCACATTACACAAACTGATAAATATTTTCGAACCAATTACGATCATGAGTTCAAATCAACAGGAATATGTAAGTATTTCTCTACAGATAAACGCATTTTATCTCCATTTCTTCTTCAGCTAAGTGTTCATCTATCTTACTATCTATACCTGATAATGTGCATATTGTTAGGGAAGCATTTATCTGTCTATTTTACTTGATACCCCTTTTTTCCTTATATACCTGTCCATTATAATAATCATATTGTTTATTTCACAACAACATAAAACAAATTAAAAGTTCATTTGCAACATTTAAATATTAATTTGTTATTCCATTACTTTCTATAATCGTTACTCATCTGTTTACATTGGTCCTCGTTAGTGTATTTTTGTGTTTGAAGACTTTTTTGATACGGTTCTCAATACGGGGTTGTACTTTGAATGTTTGGCCAAGACCAGTATTTTTAAATATCTTTGTAATTCATTATCTTAGTTGGATTTTGTATTCATCGTGTTATCTCTTAAAAAAAGAAAATAACAGTTAATAAATTCGCTGCGTCCGAAGCGGTTTTCTGGACTAAGCGATATGATCAAAATGTGACCTAAAATAATAGCATAATCCTTCTATGGTCAATTGTGCCTGTTATAAATCAGGCCAGTACCAAATCAATGACTAGTGAGTTATTATAAATGATACCAACGGGGTCGAATAGTTCACCAGCAGAGGTATAGACCCATTGCTTCCGAAGCGCTTTCTGCCTAATTTAAACCCTATTCTATATTTCTTTTATATATATAAATTTTAAGAAACGACTTTTCATCATAGGCTCGAGTTAGTTTTATTTTTAAAAAAAATCATGTGTTTCCATTTGTTGTAATATCTTACATACTTCTTCAACTTTTATGAATATATTTCATTTTGTGTTAAAAAAAATGCTTTGTATTGAACTATTCCGGTGGTTTCAGTGGCTTTCCGTCTGCTTGTCATTTCTATACATACTTATCTTTGCATTTTACATGTTCTCTTTTGTGAGTAGAAATAAACTTATTTATTGTCATTCTTAACTATTATCTTGATAGTGTGTAACTTAAACTCTCTATGACACATACGTCATCTATTTAATGCTTATTGTTAACAACACTACCATTATCATGTCTAATAATTCTATTCAAGTTACCTGAATTAACCATCTTCAAAGGCAATTTAATAAAAGACCTCTATGGCAATCCCAATACACATTACAATGCATTTGTAAGTAAATACTAATGATCGGATTTCATATAAGGCATTGTGTCGACTTCGTTGATTCTTTCGAGTTTATATAGCAATCATGGTAATTCTATGCAAAAACAACAGAGACCGGATGAAAAATACAAAGAGAAGATACTTCTTTTTATTATGGTTTCATATGCAGCAAATGGTTCAATGTAATTTCATGATGATTAAAATTGAAAAAAAATTCTTGCCATGCTTTTTCTAATGCTGTTTTTAAATTCTGAACATTTTACTAGATTGGGGTATACATCAGAAATTAAGCAAACAATTATTTCCTAGAAGTAAGAAAATACTTAATGTTTTCATTATTTATTTTGCTATTATAGAAGCAGATGTATCATAAACGTGTTGTATGACATGTTTGTTTTAGCTACCCGAGTAAAATTAAATTCACATCACTCCAATCAGTATATAACATTTTATACTTGTTGATTTTCTTCATTCATTATTTATATGTAATAGCTATATTTTACATTAGACAAAGAATGCTTAATTAAAATAATTCTTGATCAAAGATCTTTATTCCCAAGACTATCATTTTCTGTTACCTATAAATCTATGCCTGGCAAACATCCCAGTATTGCCCCCTGCAGGTTCAGCAGTCAGATTGAAATCCTCATATCATCCACGAGATGTGTCATTGAACCGTATACTAACAATATTGTCGTTTCCTGGAGGATTTATGGCGATATTAGTTGCATTTCAGCAGCCATATTTTAATATTAAGATGATATTACCTCAACGTTTACAACTCATATTGATGGGACAAATGTATATTTGGTGCGATCAGCTAATCATAAATGTCTTAATATGAAAACACAACCTAGTTATTACGTGACATATTTATATTAATAGATGTTTTTATTGAAATGCAGAGAATAAATATAATTTATATTAACGTATGATTCAAGTTATCGTCGAACAATCTAATAATTCTCCATTTTATGCAGGATCTTTTGACCATATTCTTGGGTATATTAACAATATTTGCTTACAATTGATACAGTTTAGCGAGATATTATCCCAACTTCTTGCTTATATCTAAAGAGTCGTTATTATAACCTGATAACTACATTGAGATTGTGATGTCAATAGTTTATTCTATTTGAATGCAATTCTAATTTTATACCAATATTTAAATGCAATAAACAATGAATATATAATAATTATTTTCAGTTTGAAATTTTGTGCTATAGATCATAAGATAATATTTGCATACATTAAAACAATTTTTCGTCGTTTATGAATAACATATCTTTAGCCGAGTGTATAATGCAAATTTTCTTTGTCTTTCAGAATTTCTTAGCTTATCCAAGACTAGGAAGAGCAATGGTAAGTTTTCGTTTATTTTGTTTTATAGAGAACTTTTGTGGGGATATCAAAACAACAAATAATTATGCAAATGCAAAATAGACAAGATAAGAATGAATTATGTCAATATTTGCAGCAGCATCAGGGAATAGTATATATTCATATTACCATGTTAATCATCACCTCTGGAAATAAAAACACCACAGAGGAAGTTGCTATTTTCTATAAAGGTCTCGCCTCTTCCAACCTTACATTTTGTTTTCGATAATCGGCAAATGTAGTATACAAATCTTGAAACTGTTGAGCATGTTGTAACTAGAAGTCAAATAAATTACGATATCAAATTTCTAAGATTTCACTTGACGATTATTAATTTATTATGTTATTTTGAAATTTACTTTTAGTTCCTATTCAATAAAGACTGATGAATTTAAAAGAAATATATACAAAGACTGATGAATTTAAAAGAAATATCCAGTTTGAATTGTTTTACACTAGTCTTTTGGGGGCCCTTGATAGCTTGCTGTTCGGTGTGAGCCAAGGCTCCGTGTTGAAGGCCGTACTTTGACCTATAATTGTTTACTTTTTACACACTGTGACTTGAATGGATAGTTGTCACATTGGCACTCATACCACATCTTCTTGTTTATACTTTTTTTTATAACCTAATAATTTTCAAAATTAATATTTCTGGTAAATTTCAATGAAGTATTCCTTTAATCACTTAGTTAGATAATTGAAAACTTAAAAGACAAAAACATATGCTAGTGTTTAAGCACTTGATATCAGACGGATGTAACTTGGATAACTGTCAGTACTCCAGAAGCTGTACTGATCAAGCTAAAATATTTGGAAAGTCTATTATAAGGGTCATGGCTTTTTGTTATTTTTTGTTATTTTTTTATATTATACCTTATTTACCATGATATTTTCTTACCGTTAAATACTTTTGAGCTTTATCATTAAGAGAGACAACAAGCAATCATCACATTTATTTGATCAATCTATTTTGATAAAAGATTTATAGTGAAGCTGTAAGTTTAAATTTGATGTTATCAAAATATAATCTCATTTACAACATAAACAGATAGATATAAATACTTTCAATTTCATCAATACTATAGGAATGATTGAATCGTCTTCACATCATAATTAAATTCTGTAAGTTTTAAAGGAAACTAAAACTTAACTGTTTCATTCAATTTCAAATGTGATTTCCCTATACATTCAGAGATTTTTGTTATGAATGTTTATGTTTTCAAACTGATTTTTAAGACAACTCAAAGATAATTAAAAGTATAGACATTCTATTTATGGAGTTTTAAGGAATATAATATCTTAATATCATGCACTTCATATTCAGCGTCTGTTAAAATAATTTCACAGAATTGTAAGAGTTTCATCCATTGTCGAACCAGAATTTTTGTCTTGGTCTTTTTTGTGCAAACATTGCATTTAAAACTACATTATATGAATGTAAAATCAATCGTTAATAACGTCTTCCTAAATTGTTTTAGAAATATTTCAAATACCATAAATTGTCTCAATGAATGTCATAGTCCGAACTGAGAATCTTAAACCAAATTAAAAAAATAAAACACATTAAAATAAAGAACAAGTTATTAACATTTAAAAGATATAGTCCTATGGTATATAAACATCATTTATATCTTCATATGTTAACCCGTGTTATAGTCATATTACATGAAATAGTTATTAAAGATATCTATAGGGAAAGAAAATTTTTTTTTTTTTTTTATTTTTGAATATGCTTTGATCTCAAATTTCCTAATTTGTCTCCAGGATCAGCATAGCATGCGCTCAGAACAGGTAGGTGTATGCAATCTGCGCTATAACAGCGTCATATTCTTTCGTAACTGTTTTTCAAGTGTATCCTATCTATCTTTTTTGTCTCATGGTTCTGTGGTACTTTCGTCCATGTTTTAATTATCATCAACATCAATATTTGGTTTTGGTTGATTTTCACCCGTGATTTCTTTATAAAACAAGTAAAAATAGAACCAATCTACAGTTATTTCATTTATCCTGCAATTGTTGTTCTTAATTCAAATTTGACCTTTCTAATGCGGTAAACTGCTTTTTTCTTCTACAAAAATTACCAATGCATAAGAAAAATCATAAATCTGCTGTTAACATATGTATCTTCCCTGGGATTATCACTGTTGTATACAATGTTGTGCCTTTTTTCTTAAAGTGATAATTTAAACAGAAGTATCGATAATATTTCTGTATTTCTATGTCTGTATAAAACTGTTTATCATACTTAACTTGCTATAGTTTTTTTTCATTGAACTCGAATGTGCATTCAAAATTTTCTAAGTTCCGTTTTTTAATTAAAAACGGAATAAATGGAAACGAAAATTCTGAGAATTAGAACTTACTTCTCTTTTTTCTTTTCTTTTTTGTACTATGTCTTTCTTTTTTCTTTTTTGTATGACATAATTTACATATGGGTGTGGAATATCGCGCACATTATATCTAATGGCTTTATGGTACAGGCAAAGTAATAAGCTAATAATGGAGCTTTAGTACAGAACGCTCCTTAGGATAAAACATAAAGATCGTAATAAAGTTTTCTGTGTTCATAACTGTAACAAACTCTTTAATGTGTATAATTAGTGAAGGAGCTTTTCCTAATGGGCATATCCGCCAAATTATAAAGCAATCTAAAACGATATCGAAAATAATTTTAGAAAAAACATTAACGGATGAATGCGTGTGAAAAATGTTTTGTATAAATGTACACGAAATAGATACAAGTATTATAGAAAACAAGTTGGACGAACTTCCGAACTATAGAAACAAATATAGATATGGGTTTTGCTCATTGTTGAAAGCCGTACGGTGACGTATAGTTGTTAACTTCTATGTCATCTGGTCTTTGTTGGAGAGTTGTCCCATTGGCAATCATATCACATCTTCTCCTTTTTATATATGAAATGATTTGTATTTGCACAACAAGTGTTTATAGGAAAAACATCAGGTACGCTCGTGATCGAACTTTTTGGTGGTCAGATATATAAAACGTTTAAGAATTAAAAATCAGTGAAACTAATGTCAACTTTGAAAGTTAATTGAAATATTTTGATACACTTTAAGGTTAAAACAAAACGTGTTTTTAAAAATATTCTTATATCGGAGCACTGGAAATTGGCCTGATTTTACCATAAGTACTGAAAATCTAAGCTACAAAGCAGCGGCATCGACCAAGAGTCGGTAAAAAATATATTAACATTTTTGTGAACACAAACAAGCGTGTTTTGTTCTTCGGGTACTGCTGTGACCAACATTTGAGAGCATCAAAACAAATAAAGACATATACCGATATCTGTGTAAATATCACAAAATAGGTGTCCAACAAGAAACATATATTAATGCGAACATTTCTCGAGTTACATCATGTATGTAAACAGGGTCGATATGTTTATATAGCAGACTAACTTCGATCTGAAATTACCTTTGCACTTATTGGCAAATTATTACTTGTAAATTAAGAGGTATGTCAAAATGTAGCAATAAAAATATGCATTTATGAGAAAAGTGTTATGTAATATTTGTTTTAAAATATTTTGTAGAATTTTTTCCATTGGCCGAGATCAGGAAAGCGAGGTGATGCCGAAATGTGTTGTGACGGTCTTATAGCTTACTTGAACGATGATGATATCTTTACAACTGTATGTAATGCACCTCAATGTTGCGATGGATACGAAGAAAAAATTAAAAGACCACACAATAGTAAAAATATATTTTTTGTCTGCGTAAGATCAGAGGTAAATTCTTCTCTATTCTTTATTTTTTATTCTCCATTTTCATTATTCAAGTAGTTGATTCATATATGTAGACTTCATTTGACATGACTCTTGTGTGAATCGACTTGTATATAGGCTTTCATGCCAGATACATTTCTGCATAGGTAAAACAATGAACTGTAGATTAGCTTAAAACAAAATAAAATTTACAGAAGTATGGCGGTCCTTACCGAGGAAATATATATATTTTTTTAAATAGAATATCACAATTACTTTCCAAAGTGCCTTTTAAGAAGAGAATTAAACCTTAAATATTTGACAAACCCCGAAGAGATACCTGAAGCAAAATAGGAATAATATTGAGAATGTTATTGGAAGCATGTTTTGCATTTGACAAGCATCCTTCCGGAGCCCTTGAGACCACTCCCACTTTTTTTCTTTTGGTACGTGTTGCTCAGTCTGACGTTCCTTTGTATGGTTTTGTTGACTTGTTTGACTTAAAGTCGTCCATCGTTTTCTGGCGTGTCGTTGTCAGTTTGTCTTTGACTTATTATTTTTTACTATCACCTTGGTATCTCCCGCTTGTTTCCTGACAAGTTAAAGCAGGTTGACTAAGAAGGCCATGGAAACAGTTGGGTTCATATGCACAATTCATTTCAGGTAGGTGATGTTGGTAGTCTTTTCTTCCATTCCTCTGTCCTTATCATGAACTTGGATATGTATGATGGCTTCTTTCGAAGCTGAGCCAGTAGAAGTTCATATTTTCACATACATGTAGTTGAAATCTTTTCAAGTACCAAATACTAAGAGTTGTCGAATTGAAAGTTTAATTTTTTGGTACAGTGAATTAAATATAGGCTTGGACTAATGGTTCTTCTGTCATATTTTATTATCATGAAATTAGATTATATCTAAGCTGAAAGTACCAAGCATTAATAGTTGTGGAATTGATCTTGATTCAATAACTATACAGGTTATTTTGCAACCAAATATAGGCATGATAAGTATAACAAATTCCTGTCATATGAGTGGTTTTGTCAAGAGACAAATGGCTTATAATATACTGTCATATCTCATTTGTCGCTTTAATTGTGGCTTATATCTTTTTATTTCATATTGAAAATCTTCGTAAAATGACAATTTGCCATTCGTATATTTATATTTTTTTACATAGAATTCTAAGAATGTCATTTGCAATTGTTTTATGACACGAATATTTAATTCCCGACATATCTGTTTGTTTTATTGAATTTGCAATACTGCTTTACTGTTACATGTTCAGTATATATGTTCAGTGTTACACTTTTAAGTCCCTTGATCGCGGTGATAGTTGACTCTACTTCATATTAATATTGACAAATGCAGCAGTTTTATGATTACAGCGTACATCCAGTTTTCAATTATCAGTTTTAAATATTGCATGAAAAATAAGGTTGCTTAATTATACTGACACTGTAAATTATTGCTTTTTAAAAAATCAAACCGTGCACACTTTTCCAAACCAAATGGGACAAACTCGGGTCAACAGTACTGTTAGCAAAAGGAGATGAAACAGTATTATATAGTATTTGTATAGTTGCATCATGATAAGTAAAAGACACCGATTTCTGTTATAATTACACCTTATGTAAGAGTCCTGGGTTTTGATTGGTTGATAGCCAGTGTATTTTTCACCAATTTACTGTTATCAAATGAATATCGTTCATTTTTTAACGCCGCCGGGGTATATGCAAAAAGGATATGCCTTTTTTACCCTCTCTGCCATGGTATTTGCCAAAAAATACTCTCTCCGACTGGACGCTTGTAACGTCACGATCATCAATGCGTTTTTGAATGTTAACATTCGGTGTAATTAAACAGATATAGCATGTTTTTGAGGGGTATTTGCGAAAAATACCAGTCTTGAGAATGAATTTCCCTCGCCTTACGGCTCGCGAAATTTAACATTCTCTCGACTGGTATTTTTCGCAAATACCCCTCCTTAACATGATATATCTGTTCAAAACATACCTTTATCATTATCTTTTGACTTTGCGTTATTTGATAATTTACTACAGCGCAAAAAGAGGCGAACAATGCCGAAGGTATTCAAAACTCACAAGTCGAGGAGAAACTGACAACGCCATGGCAAACACGAAATGTGATTAACAGACAAACAACAGTCCAAACTGAGCGACACGAACCCCATCAAAATCCGGAAAAAAATGAACTGCTATAAAACTCGTTATTTGCTAAATATATAGCGATCAAACCGTACCTGAACTCTTTTGTAACCTATCGTTATTAATATTTTAATTATTACCTTGCAGTTTTTAGGTACATATTTAATCACGGTATTCATGCTATGCTTTAAGTTAACTGATGCTATCTTTTTATAACATAATACCGAATATATCTAATATTTAATTTTCAATATTGCAGTATGATGAAACACAGGGGAAGCTGGAAGCATAATGGTATGTGAACACAACCTCAAAAATCATCGCACCTCATCGTCTATGCATATGGCTGCAGAACAGACAAAAGTCGTGTTAACAAACATGTGATCATTTTTCTACTAGTTTACTAATTTACAAAGTCTGCCGTAAAGACTACAGGACATGCGGTCATAATATATATATATGTGTGTATACGTTTTTTAAGGTGGTGCATTTTTTTATATGCGCCATTACACAAATTATGTATTAAACTGTCTCTGTCATTTCTATCTTTGATATGAAATTCATTTTGCAAACACATTTAACTAATTCATCATAATGTAATCCTGTTTAAGAAGGATATGTTAATAGTTTACTTATATTCTGAAGTCACTATTCCAGTTATCTTTAATTATTTTTTTAAGATTGGTGCACATATGAATATATTTTATTTTACATTATGTATTTTCCTTTTAACAAAATGTCCAAGGGACGATTTTAATAACTTGTATCTGATATGCGCCACTTTAGGGCAATTATAAACTGTTTAATCTTGAACAATACTACAAACTTTTAGCTATTTCATATTTACAATAAGTGATTAACTTTTATGGTTGCAATTAAATAAATTTACCTTTATTTGATGAGGTTTATTTCATTTGTTATCCCTTACATTATGGCCTCATTTTCCGATTAGAAAGTGAGGACACTTCCACCAAAAAACACACAGACACTGTTCCAACCCGGTCCACGATTTGCATAATTTTCTTATTTAGCCGTTATTTACTTGGTTTTTCGTCCTACGAATGCATGAACAATTTACATCTGGTTATTGAACAAACGATTGTGAAAACTGGTCAATAATTTGTCTATGTCGGCAATCATACTGATTAAAATCATTTTTTAAAACAAATGGTACATTGAAAAAAAGATATATAAGTCACACGGATATTTAAAGCAAAATCGTTGCAACCTATTAATTAAAAATATGGAAAACTCTCATGCGATTTTTTATAGTTTTTAGAACTAATTTTGTACGGTATATTTTGCACCCTACCATTATTGTAATGTTGCAAATGGAACTTAAACATTTATATTATATTTTTAATGTGAGGAGGATCTTACATCTTTTAATAGCAAGAACTCCAGTCGTGATATATCAACTAATTCGATTTCAATGGTTCTTTTTTCAGGTTGTCTGCCGATATTATTCTGTAGTTAGTCCCCACTTCGGTTTTATCATGTATATTTATTATATAGTCATTTTATAAAATTTACTGTTTGCAAAATTATAAATTATTCTAAATAATAAGGATGTTCTTGTCCCAGACAGAAAACCCTGGCCGTGTTGGGCGCAACTTTTTGGAGGTTTTGGTCCTCGGTGCTCTTCGGCTTTGTACTTGTTTTGGCTTTCAAACTTTTTTCATCTGAGCGTCACTGGTTGGTCTTGTGTGGACGAGACGCACGTCTGGCGTATTGAATTTTAAGCCTAGTACCTTTTGTTAGCTATTATTCGTGTGTTTCTTTGTCCTATATGTTCTCCCATTTATTTGTATTGTGGTCCTGTCATGTGATGTTGTCGTTTTGGTGTTGTGTTTGACGTTGCCGTAAAAGCGGGAGGTTTGGCATGCCACAAAAACAGGTTCAACCCACCATTTTTTTCTTAAAATGTCCTTTACCAAGTCAGGAAAATGGCCATTGTTATATTATAGTTCGTTTCTGTGTGTGTTACATTTTAATGTTGTGTTTTTGTTGTGTCGTTGTTCTCCTCTTATGTTTGATGCGTTTCCCTCAGTTTAAGTTTGTAACCCGGATTTGTCTCTATCGATTTATGAGCTTCGAACAGCGGTATACTACTGTTGCCTTTCTTTAGATGCTTATTAACCTCTAACAAATACTGCCGATATCATCTTTATTTTATGATGAGACTTCATGAAACATATTAGGAGGGTTTTTCGCATTCTATTTATTTTTCGCATTAATATAATGCTATCTGGAGTATATGTTATTATTTGCTGTTCGTATATGCTTATCCGTCTGTTGTGTAAGTGTGTGGAGAAGTCGAGCGTTTGGTGTGGTCCGGACAAAAAAACCCAAATTTTCAAGGAAATGTTAGTTATATAAATCAGCTAAATTAAAAGGGGGTAAAAAATACAAAGTCTACAATAAAGAGAAAAGCCAAAGAAAAAAGTGATCATGACTAAAACGAAAAACATCAAAGTACAAAACATTATACAGAAAATTGAAATTTGAGCAACGCAAACCCAAAAAAAAAACTAGTGGTGTTCTCAAGCGCTCTAGAAGGGAAAGTAGATGCTTCTCCATTTGTGGCACACGTCTTGTGGCTCTTGGCAACTAATAATCTATGATTGATGTATTCGGTGATGTCTTTATCGTTGAATATAGTATTGTTTCTACGATCATTTGAACATATCCGAGGTCATCCGCGACCTAAAAATCAAAAATTGGTCTATAATATCACGATGGCGTCCGTAAACCATTGAAGGGATGACTTTAATTTGCCATATACACCCTTGATTCAATAGCTGCCTTGTAAACATCACCCCTCTTTCAAAGATGTGGATATCATTATAGACAACGAAAGCTCTTGATTATATTATTAACTGGGAGGGAGATATGTACTCATATGCAGGCGATGCTAGATTGTCTCTGCATTGGAATGAAAAACTTTACAATTAGAAAGCTGAAATTATCTCTTTTGTCGTAAATTTAAATTCTAAGTCGACTTTATTGTCAATTTCCAAATGTAAATCTATATGAATCTAACTGCATATGCGGTATCCTTTATTTCAAATTCGTTTAAATAGATGTGTCAATGTAGTCAGCAATATATAAGGTGTTGATTAAGAGAAAATCATCTATAATTTGGGACAAGAAGTTGAAAGATGATGTTACATTCTTCTCAATGTTATTGAGAGCTCCTGTATGCCATCCGATGCATATGCATAAAGGAACAATCGACACGAAGATGCACACAATCGATTGTATGTTGACGTCCGCCAAAGTTTGAAAAATATGTCGTCAATGAAAAACAAGTATCTTGATGGTGTACGTTTCAGAGAAGTTTCTCTTTCAATCAGAAAGTTGGTTTTTTTTTTTATAAATTACCATTAATCACTCTATGAAATAAGCTTTTTTTAAGAAAAAAAATTGGTCTAATTCTTTCATTTGTCTTTAAGATTTCAATGAGAAATACTTGTGAAAAGGGAAGACACCATTTTTTTTTAATACTATTGCACGAGGAAACACACTCAGATTGTATGCACTCATACACATTTTTGATTTTTTTAAGTATCCATATCTGATTTACAGCGCCCGTGAGTAGGTAGTTACACAGAAACTCTCACGTCCTGCTGAGTCCAAAGAGCAGGAAATAATAAGGTGACAGATAAAAACCATAAGGAGAGAAAAAAGAGAATACCATAACAAAAAAGAAAAGCGACGACAAGACAAACATCAGTTTACAAAACAATAGACATAAAACTAAACACCGAGCAACATGTGCTCCATCATCCATAGATGGTGATTTCATGAGCTTAAAAAGGGTACATAGATATTGCTCCACTTGTGACACCTGTCGTCTTACTAAAGAAAAATTCATAGCAATACCTGCAGATATTTAGATGATGTATTACTTGCAACAATCCAGTTTTTAGCTGAATATACAAATGAAGTTGAGGTAACTGAACCCATTTGTGCCAAATCAATCATTAATTTTGACCGGGTCCTGTTTTATGCAATGAAATTATAATAGCTCCTGGTAATATTCATACCAATATATAAGATAAACAGGATCACATTTTCTCTCAAATGCTAAATTTTCCTTTTTCTTGATGTTGCTGATACGTTTTCTTATTATCGAGTAAATATTTCTAGTTTTGTTCGATTGTTGATTGATTTCAGTAAACTCTCAAAGAAGGATTTGTGATAAGAACCATTGTTTTATCCTTGAAATTGCAAAAATAGTTAATTTATTCTAGCATTTCTCAATAATACTAATTTCACTGATAAATAAAGAGGTTAATAAATTATGTACTCTTCAGTGCTAAAATGTTTGAACACTCATTTCTAGTGAACACATAGTTTTTAAACAAAATAAATATGCATAAAACCTTACTGAAAATACCTTACACATTTTAAACATATTTATACAATGCATATTATTACAAAACAATAATTTTTGCGTAAAGGCTTTGATCTTATATAAATATTAACGTCCAGATCTCCAAAACGGTAGCTTTTTGACAACTGTTGCAGTTTAACACTAGAGTCACCAGAAATACCAATTTACAGATCTTTTATTGTTTTTATTTTATTCATTTACAACATTTACATTTTGCATAAACATATCATCGGACTGATTAGTATACCAAATGACTCTAATGAAGGTCTTTTAAATCTGTAACAAAAAAGACGGAAATTAAAAATCCCATTTCACACATAACTAATTAATTTTCATAATAAGGTGTGTTCACGTTCCAATTACCATTGTCTTCATCGTAGCAATACAATGCACCCGTTTCATTAAGATGCAGACATTTGATAAATTTAATTAATCTGCCGAAGACATGAAACCCTGTCAACTAAAATTTTCAATAATGTTTTCCAAGGTATCATCATAACTAATTAATTTTCATAATAAGTTGTGTTCACGTGCCAATTACCATTGTCTTCATCGTAGCAATACAATGCACCCGTTTCATTTAGATGCAGAAATTTGATAAGTTTATTTAATCTGACGAAGACATGAAACACTGTCAACTAAAATTTTTGATTACATTTTTTACGGTATCATCATAACTAATTATTTTTTGACTGCAAGGTTAATATAGTGGATGCAACAGTGTAAAGTGCAGTTTTAAATTAAGGTTCGATAAAAAACTTTTCTATTTTTTTTTTTCTTTTTAGTAACTTCTATGTATTTTACTAAGGCAACACATTTGGATATCATGTTACTTAAGCTATGCGTACACTCTGCATTCATGAACCAAAAATTGTGCAACAAAAATTGAGAACTACAAGGTAAATTATAAAAGTGGGAGTCCTAAAAAACTGTTAAAAACCAAAAGCTGGCTTCTATCAAAAATCAGAACGACTGGAACACAACTGGCACATTCCTGACTTGGTGCAGGCATTCCCCTGAAGAACATTGTTCAACCTGACATTAATTCGGAATTTGCTTTGCACAACTCTTGATTCAAGAACCAATGATGATTCTTTTGTAGACGAAACACACGTCTAGCGTACCACAATTATAAATCAGGTATCTTTGAGTTTTTTTACAACCACTAGGAGGATGCCACTGCTGGTGAACGTTTCGTCCCCGAGAGTATCACTAGCCACTGCGCAAGTAAACAGTATCGTAGTATGCATAGCAATAAAAGCGCTGTCCCTTTGCTTTTTGTGTGTTTTTGCTGTTCATGTAGTGATTTTTGTGTCATGGATGGATAACCCATATCTGTTTTTTCTATTATGTGACCCATCTGTCACTGCAGACAAATTTCTGGTCAATGTAAAAAAGAATACTTTGGTTTTGTGAATTTGAATACATATTTGTGTCATAAAACAAAGAAGGTAAGTCCTCAGATTTGTTTCTAAAAGGAATATTCAATGAGGCAATAAA